TTGGCAGCTTGGAGCTGTTCTGCCTTCACATGTGCGTCCTCTCCCATGGACCCCCCTTATTCCCTACAACTGCCTGTCCTGTCGCTCAAAGTCCTTCACGGGAACCCCTCCCTCCCTCGAACCTGCCCCCACCTGCCGACAGCCACAGCGGGGACTGGGGGACGGGCCTCCCCTCGACTCACCCCAGGCGCCACGACGCTTCAATAAACGGGAATCCCAACGCTGCGGGCGGCCCGGGCCCAGGAGCACAGACACGGTCCCCATGTTTTTTCAGGAAGCGAAACTGGACAAAATGCACCCAAAATACTTAAAATGACAAGTAAAACCGAGGCCAGGACACTGAGGAACAGCCAGGCCAGACCACAGAACAGCAGTTGGGTCGGCACACGTTTTACAAGAGATTTTTACTGATTTTTAAAGAAAGCGGAAGGGACATGAACACGACCAGCTGCCCCCACCCCCCCGCCACACACACACACACACACACACACACACACACACACGGGGAATCGAACCCGCAGCACCTGGTGCGGGACAAGGCCCAGCCACTGCGTCGGCCAGGGCTTCGCACCTGAAACACAGCCGTGACCTGCACCCCAGGCGCAAACCGCCCGCTGCTGGTCGCTGTCACACGCTCCACGCTCCCCAAGCCGCCAAGAGGCTTTTGGGGAAATGTCTGAAACAGAGGCCCTTTTGTTTATAAAAGTGCATGGAATCCATGTCCTCAAAGTCCTCGAACCTCCACAGCCTTCTGCGGGGGCGGGGGGGCCTCCCGGGGGGACCCCTGCTTGGGGGCGCCCGTCCTGCCTCCTTGCTGTCGTCCTGGAGCTCTGAGAGGCGCCCCGACTGCAAAGATGCTGGAGATGCTGGAGGCTTCCAGCCCCACGGAGACCCGCGTGGCCAGAGCCTGCTCTGGGCCTGCGTCCACCCGTCTCCAACCTCCCGCACAGATTCCAGCCCCGTCCTGCAAAGGCGGAGGGGGAGGGCGGGCATGGGGAGGGAGGGGGTGGGGAGGGGGCTGGGAGGGGGGGAGGGGGGGTGGCCGGGCGTGGGGTACGAATGGACCAGTGTCCCCGATGGAGGTCGGCCTGGAAGCTGCTCTAAGGTGAGTCCGGAAGGGCCTGGTGCGGGCTGTGCAGTGCGGGGTCGCGGGGGGTCGGGCAGGACCAGCAGATGCCCATGGGAAGGACTGGTGGGCCGCCCCCCCCGCCCCCCGGGCTGGACGGAGGCGCAGGCGCGGAGCAGCAGCGCCGGGTGGTGGCCCTTGCGGTCGGTTTGGGGAGAATGTGGTTCAAGGGACCGGCCTGGACCAGCTGTGGCTGACGGAAGGCGCTGACAGGCGGGGTGGGTGCAGCTGGATGGGGATGAGTCGGGGTGTTGGAAACACACAACAGGGCACCACTGGGGGTGTCACCGGGGGCCGCTGCCAGCCACAGCCCAGCGCCCACGTGACGCCGTCCATTCTCACTGGAACCTGTCAGCCGGCGGTGGCTGCGGAGGCCTCCTCCCCTCCCGCTGGTCCAGAGAGGTAGCGGCAGGCCCTCTTCTCCACCCCGCCGCCCTGCTGTGAGCCCCTGACCCCCTCTGTCTG